CTACAACAATTAAATATTATTATCACAGGGTAGAATCTTTTTTTCGAGGTTTCTCGACAGAGGCAGAGGACGGGGGAGGGGAGGATGCAAATCGGATTTTTTTCCAGAACTTAAGCAAGAGATGATATATATCAAAAAGGCTAAAATTATCCTGGCATCAGTGTAGGTATCCTATGTTATTGGTGTCACTAGGCCCCTTAAAATCAATTTTTAATTATATTTCTGCTGTTTTACTATTCCTTCTCCTTCTTTCTTATTTGTGTATTTGTTATGGCAAAAAAAAAGACAACATTTACACTTTAGAAGCGGTCTGCGGTATTCGGGTGATGTACTCTCGGATGGTTCTCAGAATTATGATGATTCGAGAAATCTTTTGCGACAAGATGTTGCGGCAGAACGTGATCAAGATCGAAGTCTAGCATCGGATCGTTTGTTTCGTTCCAGGCTAATTGTCAACGCAGATGGATACTATGGGCATATCCCAGCTAATGGTTTGGATTCTTATTCATTTTTGCAAATATTTCTCTTTTGGTATAAAAAAAACTCTGCGTGGGAAGAGGCCTAGAGTAACTACTCCAGATATATGGCGATATTCCAGTAACATCAATAACATGCAATTACCACATCGACTTTTTGGGTGGTTTTGATGTTTTTGGTATGCAAATCGGTAATTGCACAGCTTTTTCTCCACTACACCATACAGTGACCGTTATTATGAGAACTAAGAAGTCGAAGAAATTGGTCATTGAGGGGGAAAAAAGAAATGAAAAATTGTGCTGGAGGACCTGAGAATCGACAAATTGGCTCTAATTTTTGCCAAATGAGGCAAAGTTTGAATAAAGATGTAAGGTGGGGAATTGCGACAACAACGTATGGAACAATTGATGGAAGTTCTGTGGGCGATTGACCGCTGAACCATAAGGTTGGGTTGTGTCATCAGTTTATTCAGTATTTTCTTCTGGACTGTGGGATCTTGCCAGTGGGCAGTCAGTCCTTCTCTGATTCGTTCATTCGTTTCGATGGTAAGTTGGTACCGGCGCTTGCCAGAGAGTCAAACCCGCCAGTTGCTTGTAATCAGCCCACTTATGAGGGAGCCAGCGGTCTGCTGTCATTCGGGCTGCTTCCAGACTGCCTCTGCCTTTTATAGGGAGCAAATACGGAGGGTATTTTTGACTGTTGATTTACTGATCTAAAACAGAATTAAGAACGTTATTCAAAAAATTATTCGTGAAATAATTAACAGTTAAATTTCGAGAAAAATGAGTGCACTACGGTGGGATACGCAACGCTGCTCTGTTTCATATAAATTACAAATGTGGATAAGGAAATCTCCCACTGAGATATAACAGGTTGGGGATGGGATGTGCTAATCTTTTTTTTACGGAATCGCCTACTCTAGGATATCTTGAAATTGTGTAGTTCTTTAGTGATGGGGAAAAAAACGAATGCTTGTGCTCGACTTTTCAAAGAATTGCTGCTAAATGTGTGAAAAATAAATTTGTGAAATTGATCGAGTAGTGAACTTGATGATGGCTGGCAGTACCATTTTATCGCTTCCTCACGAAAAAACGATTTATTGGCATATATTTTTAGCACATTCGAGCATTGCTTGTTGCAAAATTTAAATCATTTATCTGACAAAACATTGAACAGGTGGTGGATACTAACTGAAGATACGCAGCCCAGAATCAAGCATAGCTGTACCCTACGTATATATATACTCATATATATACATACATATACATATATATGTCTTAGCACTAACATGAAATAACTCACCGGTGACTGTCCGAGTGTTCTTAGGATTCTTGGTAATTTGACAAAACTATGTGGCGAAAATGCCTGTTCTAGCTCATGTTTGAGGTTTAAAACCCGCTACTTGTGCCCTTTAATCATGCTGAGTGCTTCTAATTTCTGTAAACCATAGGAGCAAATCATTCCTTCCCTCTAGCTTGAGCAGAATATCTACTAATGCAAAAGCTATCAGTGAGAAAATTACAAATGCTTTTACATGTTTGTTACAGCCTCACACGCTATTTTTTCCCCTTCTTAGTATTTTGTTTGAGAAGCTCATACTGATGGGTCGGAGATATTAGGGATTCAAGATTATCTTCAACTTTTTCTTAAACAGTCTTCGGAAAAGGCCGCCGCCAAAAATTCTCCAATTATGCAGTTACTCTGA